TTTTCGGGATTTTTATTTCCATGACATAACCACTTGGAGACAATGCCAGAGTCATTATCCATATGAAATATCACGATAATGGCTTGCTTAACTTTTGAGATTATGGAACAAACTTGACTTCAAATTTAACATAGAAATCTCCATAGGCAATTTTAAGGTACTTATAAAACCGGAAGTACACTACATATCCATACCAAAATCGAAACATAGAGAGCATATTAGACTCTAAAATGGTTGACAAAGGGAGATAACTCTTCGACGATTAAATTTGAAAATACTTAAAAATACAAAATTTCAGGTCTCTAAAAGTCCTTTAAGGGGTCAAAAAGTGACCCCACGGCCCATATTTTTTAAATTGTTCTTTTTATGCTTAACTCAAAACCGAAATCAGTTTGAAGATCTATGGACAAATAAAAAAGTAATAAACAAAAAACTATTTTCTGTACTGACCCCTAAAATCCCTTTTATTTTAAGAAATTTTATTTTCATGACCTAAGCACCGAAAGGCAATGCTAAAGTAGTTTTTCATGTGAAATATTATGAGACTTGCTTGCTTCCCTTTGAAAATAATGGACATGGTATGATTTCAAATTTAACATTGAAATCTCCATAGGCAATTTTAAGATGCTTATAAAACCGGAAGTACACTACATATCCATACCAAAATTGAAACATAGAGAGCATATTAGTCTCCAAACAGATTGTCAAAGGGAGATAACTCTTGCACGATTATTTTTGAAAATACTTAAAAATACAAAATTTCAGGTCTTTAAAACTCCTATAAGGGGTCAAAAAGTGACCCCACGGACCATATTTTTTAGACTGTCCTTTGTATGCTTAAGTCAAATCTGAAAACTATTTGAAAATTTATTGAAAAATAAAAAAGTTGCAGGCAAAGGTCTGTTTTCAATGTTGGCCCCTAAAAATCCCCTATTTTCAAAAATTTCAATTTAATAATTTGATGAAGTCACAACAGTTTCAAAGTCATTCTGCATACAAAATATTACAAGAAAATGTTGAATACTTTAAGAGATAATGTTCCATGATTAATTTAGCGTGATTTCAAAATAAACATAGAAATCTCCATAGGCAAGTTTAAGGCACTCATAAAACCGGAAGTACTTTTCATATGCATACCAAAATTGAAACATAGACAGCATATAAGGTTCCAAACAGGTGGGCAAAGGGAGATAACTCTTCACAAATATTTTCTAAAAGACTTAAAAATGCAATATTTCAGGTCTCTAAAACTCCTATAAGGGGTCAAAAAGTGACCCCACGGACCATATTTTTTAGACTGTCCTTTGTATGCTTAAGTCAAATCTGAAAACTATTTGAAAATTCATTGAGAAATAAAAAAGTTACAGGCAAAGGTCTGTTTTCAATGTTGGCCTCTAAAAATCCCCTATTTTCAAAAATTTCAATTTAATAATTTGAAGATGTCACAACAGTATCAGAGTCATTCTGCATACAAAATATTACAAGAAAATGTTGAATACTTTAAGAGATAATGTTCCATGATTAATTTCAATTTAAAATAAAACTTTCAAGACCCATAAAACCGGAAGTTCTGTTCTGATCGAAATGAAACTTACAATATATGTTCTACTTATGAGTTCTAACATATTTCTATGCTCAAAATAATTTTTGTAGCTTAATTGTGACTTTCAAAAATTTCATCCCCCCTTCTTCAATGTTTGAAGTCTTATATCTCGAAAAGTATTTGTGTTCAAAAATTACATACGCGCACTTTTTTATTGGATTATGTCTCTAGAATTCATATCTCAAATTTGGGAGTCTAGACACTAAAATTAAAAATGTTTTTGGCTTCTTTAGAATTTTCAGTTTTCCTTTAGTAGAAACCGGAAGTGACTATTCCGGAAGTTGTTCTTGTTTCACGCACGAGAGATTTTAATTTGCTATTTAGTGGTTTCACAGTAATATACCTATTCTTAAAGGTACTCCCTAAATGCTGAACGATAGAAGTGTTCAGTATAATAATAATAATAATAATAATAAACAAGACGAAAACAATAGGTCTTTTGGATCATTTCATTGGTTGTAATTTTGTTTCGTCAACATTTCCTTGATGCTTGTCATGAGCCAATTGTATTTTGGTGCAATTTGTACCTTATTTTGTGTGCACAATTTGTGCTTTAAATGACTTGAGCCGATTTGGCATAATTTTGGTGCAATTTGTACCTTATTTTTTGTGCACAATTTGTGCCTTATGTGACTTTAGCCGATTTGGCATAATTTCGGTGCAGTTGGTACCTAATTTTGTGTGCACAATTTGTGCTTTTATTGTTACTTTGGGCTGCAAAATTGCCGCCCCAATGTTAGTTTGTGGCGGATGGGTCATGTGACTTGGTCCCTTGACCCATTTGGCATAATTTTGCAAAGAATGCTGTCTCCGGGGGGTACTGTTTTTTCCAGGCTCCTTGGATCAAGATGGTATTTCTCTTGCTTATGATTATCCATATTCAGTTACCTATGCTGCCATATAATCATCATCGGCGCATACATTGTATTATATCTAATATTTTATTAAATGGCCATGACAAGCACGCCAAAACAATTATTGACTTGTTTTATTGACTATTTTTAGACATCCTTAACCTTTTACAGGGTTTATCTGATCATGTTTGTTTCTGTTGTCGTCCAAGTCCAGGTCGCGAAATAATGGAGTTTATCAAATATGGATAAACCTGGTTATTTCGCGTAGCTTAGTTTTTTACATATGCTAAGATCGATAACTCCTAATCATTACGTTCATAATTCATCGGGTTCGGTGCTCAAAAATATTTGTTGAATGCGCATGTCTTCTAGAATATTCCTTTCTATTCCGTAATTTGAGTGAAGCAGACGCACAAAATTTTTAAACCCACCCTCCCTCCCCCTAAGTCGATTTATATTCCCCTTAAGCATATATTTCATGTTTTATTGCAATGTAAATTTTCTTTTGGTGTTTTTCTCGTTTTCGTTTAATTTCTCGTTTCAGCGTCATGGCATGGATCAAATGCTGAATAGGATCCACCTTATTGATGTGCTTGGCAGACCTTTCAAACTTCCAGTTGTGTGTGGTGTTTTTAACTTTGTTAAGCATAATTTTGCAAAGAATGCTGTCTCCGGGGGGTACTGTTTTTTTCCAGGCTCCTTGGATCAAGATGGTATTTCTCTTGCTTATGATTATCCATATTCAGTTACCTATGCTGCCATATAATCATCATCGGCGCATACATTGTATTATATCTAATATTCTATTAAATGGCCATGACAAGCACGCCAAAACAATTATTGACTTGTTTTATTGACTATTTTTTAGACATCCTTAACCTTTTACAGGGTTTATCTGATCATGTTTGTTTCTGTTGTCGTCCAAGTCCAATGTCGCGAAATAACCAAGTTTTATAAAATACAATTTCATCAAAATCAGTTTTTATCAGAACGGCCGACATTGTTCTACTGTGATTTTCAAGCATTTGTTGGAAACAAAATGACGTCCTGATGTGATTACAGGGCATTAGCTCTTCATAAAAACAATGGCGACGTCTCAATGCTTTTATCTAATTGGAATTCTTCACTCTTGAAACAATTTGATAAAATTTACCATGACTAATTAAGAGTGTTTCGGAGGTGTCTTGGTGTCTCCATGTGAGTGAATAAATTTTCGAAAGGGACGTTAAACAACAAACACACAAACCTGTCTTTGAATTTAAGGTACGTAATACATGGTAAGGACCGCCTCATGAGTAGACGAGGGGCCCACCTAGTGAACACATCATTCAATTTCACTGCATTTTATTTAATTTGAGTTTTGATCTAATAACCAGTTCATGTATGTTCCCATGTTTACTATAAGCCATTATGGATCCATAGGAGTTGTTGTAAATATGTCTGCATATTCACCCTGATAAATATAGTTCAGATGTCCTTTCTTCATGCCTTTATTTAGTGGTTACTTCGTGACTATGACATTGTGTATAGCATTTTTATCATTTGTAGATTCGGTTTGATTCAATTAAATATTCTTAACATATTCTTTCCAAATAGTTTTGAAATCATGATTCAGCTTCCTGAGACGTCCAGTGTATTTTTCTTCAATTAGGCCCTTGAAGATTGGTTGTTTCTTTGCTTTTAATCCCTTCGAGATTTGTTAGGACGACATTTAAACATTTCCATTGCTCCAAATTTAGACGTACTCAGCACTTTTTTTCTTTTTTTGCCATTAAGCAGTGGAGGATCTTTTTTGAGCCAGCATCTTCTGCGACACTGGACATAAGTTTTTATGGTCCCTTTTGAAGGACCGTTTTCAACGTTACTCATTGGGATTTGAACCTGCGATTTAAAATTAGCCACTTACTTCTTAACTCCAAAGCAAAATTCTCCAGAAACACTAAATCTCATGACCCTCAAAAAAGTACATTGATCGTCTATAAGCTCTGAAGGCTGATGGAAGGTTTGAAAAAATATACTCTTATGTCTGGTCTTCGCGTATTTGAGAATCTTGTCTATTTTATTCAATTTATATAAATGTAATAGCGTGAGATATTTCACAAGTTCAACTAAATAACAGTTGTGAATTAATTAATCATGAATTTTGCTTTTAAACGGCATATGTACGATACTTAGCATTTTGTTCACAAATTGCTTTCTTTTGTACTTTTCTTATTTATAAACTAGGTAATTTTGCATTAAATTTTAGAATGTATTTTGATAGCTGCTGTCTGAAAATAAAATTGTTTACCTACCTACCGACCCAACTTGAGAATTTAGGGTCGGGTCGGGTTTCAAAAACGTTTTGAAAAGACTATGTTCTTTGCCCTTTACTAAAGCATTTTACGGACATTGATTATCAGCTGCTTTGGCGCGAAGAGCGTGATTTTCTAACGAAACCGGCTTTCTTGCTTTGAAACTTGATTGGAAAATGTCATCGACGGCTCACGACCATACATACACCTTTGATGAGTACGGTGAGTATGTTTTGCTTGATTGGAAAATGTCATCGACGGCTCACGACCATACATACACCTTTGATGAGTACGGTGAGTATGTTTTGCTTAATTAAAACTTTGAATTCAGAAGTATAGCCTGAAAATATTTTAATATTCACACTAGAGCTTGTTTACCGTGTGTTAGATAAAGGTATCATACAATTTGATAAACAAATAAATTGGAGATTTGTTTTAGCTAATATTTCATTACTATAAGAAGTTTATTTAAATTGCGGTTGAAGGATGAAATCTGATTTGTTTATTTTAATGTAACTTGATTTCACCTGTTAAAAATTGATAGGTTGCAAAAACAAAGGAAGATTTTCAAGAGGAAAGGAACCAGAGGACTCTACTCTACAGAGGACCATGTTTTTCATGATCATTCTTATATATCTATTGTTGATTCATGTAAGTGTTTATATTCCAAGGAATGATAAATTTATATAAAAGCATTTCAAATAAAATGTGTACATTTATTTAATAAAATACAGTAACTTCATTTTTCTTTCAAATGAAAAATTTATACAATGTCAATACTTTAGAAGGCCCAGACACAGATGTTCCTGAGTATGAGGAGGAGGAGGAGGACACAGATGACTATACATGCAGTTCATCAGAGAGTGACGAAGAAGAACCTGAGAGAAATGGTAAGCATTGAATAAATATATGAATCTGAAACCTGGATCTCTTTGTCTTTCTCTCTCTCTGCATTGGTAAACTGTTATGTAAACAAGTTTAAATAACATGCCTTCATATTAAATATATTTATATACACCATTTAGGTGGAAATGTCTTTCCCTTGCAAGGGCGGCACATCATAGACATTAATTTTTTAATCCAAGAGCTGGGTAAAGGGTGCCATTCTTGCAGAGAACCTTTACAGTTGTCCTCTTGCATAGGAGATACCCGATATAGACTAGGTATTATTAAAATACAAGAAAACACTAATAAGTCTATGATAACATTGTATAAATATATATTATAAGTTGTATCATATTGTTTTCAACACCACACATGCTTGTAAGTAATCAAAATAAGTAATATTTTAAACTGATAAAATATATATTGCTAATAATGAAGTTGTATAGTATTTGTATAAAACTAACATGTAGATATACTCTTGATACAGGTAGTTTACTTCACATGTGCACAGTGTCTAAATGTTACACTTGTCCCTGCTGGGAAAAGGCATGGCCAAAATGTATGGGATGTGAATTCCAAATTGGGTGCAGGTAAACATAATCTTTCAAAAGAAAAACATTTTTTTTCATAATCATTGTTTATATCTACAAAAAGCAGAATCTTTAATAATTGACTTGACCTGTTTCAGCAATTCTTTTTTGTGGGGTTGGTGAAACAGTTGTGAATACTCTGCTTTGCGCACTAGATCTACCATGTGTTTCATCAACAACATTAAAAAAGAGAGAAAGGGAGGCAGGCATAGCTTTAGGAGACGAGACATGCCAAGACGCACTAAGAGAAGAAAAAGACCGGTAAGAAAATATTCTTAATTATGGTTGGACTTTAATAATTGATTTTTATATAATTTCTAAATATTTTTAATTTTTAGGCAATAAACAATTTCATGGAAAAACCTCCATTTTTAAAAATAATGTTACAAACACACACACACACACCCACACACATACACACCCTCACACACAGATATATATATATATATATATATATATATATATATATATATATATATATATATATATATATATATATATATATATATATATATATATATATATATATATATATATATATATATATATATATATATATATATATATATATTATATATATATATATATATATATATATATATATATATATATATATATATATATATATATATATATATATATATATATATATATATATATATATATATATATATATATATATATATATATATATATATATATATATATATATATATATATATATATATATATATATATATATATATATATATATATATATATATATATATATATATATATATATATATATATATATATATATATACACAGTCATTCTTGAAACTTCAGCTGTGAAAATTCTGACCGTGCGGAGGCTTTGATGCCGGATGGCAGACCCGAGGAAGTGGCAGGAACTATGCCAGTCTCACAGGTACTTCTCAGAAATGGACGAGCCTGTACTTTATGTGGTAGATATGTTACATATATATATATATGTTTCAAATTTTTATTCACAAATTGCAGGTCACGGTAGCATGATTGGATTTAATACAGGGAAAATAGTAGCCTATTCTTATAGATGCAAAACATGTAGATTTGCCAGAGTACGAAAGATGGCCCTTTAAAAGAACATGATTGCAGAAAAAACTGGGACAAGTCATCCAAAGCGATGGAATCCGATATGGCGATAGAGGTAAAGCTTTCTTTAAGACCTCTTTTCATAAGATAAAATATAAATAGCAAATGCTTCGCCTACGCTGTAAAGGGAAATAATGACAGGGAGTCCTTGGAGAGCAATTTGTGTGCTATACCGTTACATGTATCATTGGACCACTCTAAATGTGGAAACTGGTGTGAGTAAGACCCAATAAATTTATGACATTAATGATGATGAAAAAAATTAAAATCATTTTTTAAACAATAAGGTGTGATAATATACAGTGTGCATGTATATTTTTTATTAAAAAAAAACAAACTTCTTTTCAGTTTTGTACAACAACCATCATACAAACCAAGAAACCTGCCTTATGGGAAATATTTAACTGGAGAAGATCTAATAAAGGACCTCCAACATATTTTTGATGCTTTCAGCAAGAATGCTGAAAAATTACTGAATATAGGCAGCACTGAAGGAAATGAGAGTTTCAACAACATTGTTTCCTCCAAAAACCCAAAGAACCGCTTTTATGGTGGTTCAGAGTCCACTGCCTTCAGGGTTGCAGCAGCTGTTGCACAGAAGGATATTGGCAATGATGCTATTTCCAAGGTTTGTGTATTCTTAAAATTTTAATCTATATTACGAGATAGTCTTTATTTTTATTTTGTATTCATGTTGATATATTTTATTTTTTTTTCACAGAATTATATGATTTCCTTTATATTATAAATTTTACTATAATTGTAGGTTTATGATACTTTATTACTGTCACCAGGAAAGAATACAGAATTGTTTCTTACTCGGACATCAAAGAAAAGGTAGTACAACAAGAATAGAAAGGCCAGCACAGCATACAAAAAACGACGCTATGAACTGAAGTCATCAATGGCTAAACAGGTAAATGTTAAAAAATTGCTCATATAATCTGTGTATTAATGTCAACAATGTGTTAGGTACCTATGTTTTTAATATAACAGAATTTGTATTCATAGTTTTAATGAATAGGACACTCATGTCCAAATTGCTACATGTATGTATTAAAAATTGAAGGAATCCAGCTGAAGTAAAGGAAGGAACGACATATCAACCTGCTGTAGACCTAAACCCTACAACATCCTCAGAGGCCACACAGGAAATATCAGATGCAACAGTGCCACCAACACTCAAAACTATGGAAAATGGAAAGAATGCTTTCGTTTACTTTGACCTCGAGACAACTGGCTTGGGTAGATAATACTTATCTTAGCAGTAATCAAAAATACATAAGCAATGTACCAGAGCAATTTGTCAAAATATTTCTCTTTCGTCCTCTTATAAAAAGCAAGTTAACTTATTTTGAAAAAATTTTCATCCTCATGAGAATCAGTATGCATCCATGAAAAAATAAAAACGAAAAAACAACACAAGTTTAACGCGCAAGATCATTACATACAGTTCAACTTTTGCCATATTTTTAGAAATCCGTGTTCACCGCAAAACCCCCTGTCACAGAGTGTCTCCCATATTTTTCTATCTTGAGACGGATTTTTATGAAACTTGGTAAATACATTAAATATTCAACATAGATCGGGAAAATAGCAATATAATGGCAAGGAAAAAATTAAAGTTTAATTGCAGGTGTCATAAAAGTATTTCACTTTGGTTCACGTCAAATCATAGCTGACGCAATATCATGGCTGACGCAAAATAATCCCGGAATCTCCCCTTCCGATTCGGGCATTTTGATACGAGACTGGAGCTGAATTTTTTTGTGGGATGAAAAACAACATGTAAACTTCCTGTACTGACCAGTTGTTTTTTTTTTTTTTAATATTTTAATGATTTTCTATATATTGTCAAGAGTGAGGAGTGATTAGGCCCTAGACTAGATTTTCAAGCACCTGCTACACATGTATGTATTTTGTGGTACTAAAATCTTTATAAAAAATTGTTTTACAAGATCTGAAAAGGAAACTTCTCAGAAATTTGTTTTAAAATAATTACACCTACTCAAACTTGCGCATTTTTGGTAAGAATATATAGCAGAATTTAATACTGTTGTGCAACCATTAGCACGGGCCTGGAAGCAGTTGCGGCTGCGGCGAAATAGTGAAACTAGGCTTGATTTACATGAAATTTTGAGATTATCCCTGTGCCATCATTTTGGCTCCTTGTGTAAGTTGTACATGTTTTATTTCTAAAAGCTTCAAATTCCTCAAGGAACATACTATTATTACATGTACATGTAGAGAGAATTAAAAATTTTTCAATGCACATTTTAAAAGCAGCTCAGTATTAAGTAAACCGTCAGTCAAACGTTTTGATTGCAAAAAAACTATCCTGTGCCACCTCAAGAACTCGATAAAAAACATTGTGGGAACCGAAACCCGAAGAGGTGGAACAAATTAAAACTTTTCTGTTGCTTAATAAAAAAGCGTTCTTTCAAATTTAGAGGATTTCATTGTCTTCCTTTAACGACTTGGCCTTGATTGTTTATCAAAAACAGCAATATCTGAAGTAAAAAATGTGCTATAATAATCTATATAATTCTATATAATTCATAGCACTAGAGCCCCTCACCCTGGGACCATGAATCTCACAATTCTGGTCGAGGACTCAATGCTGATTACAATTATGCCAACAGTTTGACTGCTTGATGTCCAGGAGTAAATAAGAATATTTTGAAAGATTGTATTAATATTAGTTTGTTTTGGCCCCACTCCTCAGGCCCAAGGGGAGCAGGGATCATGAAATTCACAATTGATGTTTTCCTTCATCCACAGATGATTCGTGCCAAAATTGGTTGAGAGGTTGCAGATCTAGAGAGGAAGCTGAAAATGTTTAAATGTTCACGCACGACAGAGAAAACAGATAGCAATAGGTCACCTGACCTAATAACTTTCAAAACTGAAAACTGTAGGATGTGATATCATAATGGTATGTACAGGTATTTCTGAAATTTTAAGAGTACATGGTATATTCATGTACTTTAAACTAGTTGTTTCATAATTTTGAAATTAACATGTTTATAATTAACATTCAATGTTTTCCCCATTTATGACATACCTATAGTCGTAATGCTCATATCAGTGGGCTAAGGTAAATACTGCATGGTTATTCCCAGGAAATATTGATATTTTTTTGGAAAATACGGTGTAAGCACAAGTTTCATTACTTTAAATAATATGTCGTTCCATTGATAGATATTACAAATGTTGTCAAGGATATCTAATTAGTCTTTTAATTGTTCAAGAACTAAGACTTATCTTAAAATAATTGTAGCATAGTATACTTTTTCAGGTAATGACCAAAACTTCAGTTAAGTGTAGATTTATCAGCTGAATAAACATTATTTACCCGGCAGTTCCATTTGTTTCTATTTCCGCCCGTTGCAGCACATGATAAAGATCTTTTTGCTTTAATAGAGTCGCGGGTTTCAATACTGCAAGACGATGGGACCGTAAAAACCGATTTCCTTCTCGTAGCAATTTAATTGCTTACACACACAAATCCCCTCTGCCCATGGTAATCGGATACGTCTTTATATAAGTAAAAGGTTCTCAAATGGGCGTTAAATAAGAAAAAAAACTATGTGGCCATATTTCTTGTGATTGTAGGCTAGAAGAAAATATAAGGAGGATTTTATATGTTTTACTGTATGTGATACATGTATGTATGTCATGCGTAATAAAAGACCTTTAGATGTTATCAAGGTAATCAAGATAATAAAAATATTATAAAGTCTTAACAGGAGCAAACAACTGCCATGACGTTCATTTCTAGAAATAACGCTTCATTGTGATAATTAACGTGTTTATAGACAAGAAATAGGTTACCCCATATCCAAAGATATTCGACTTTTAGATTTAATATGTTCAACAGTGTTTAAGGACTTTAAAAAAAAACAAACTGCACTGTCTAGTTATGGAACTTGTGTAAATTTCGCGAGTCCGTAGCACCCAGTCTTTTAACAAACAGTACACAGCATACCTGTGTCCGCAAGACCAGTTAGCCTTGGTCTACACACATACGATGGAGTTGGTAAACGCATCTAGCGAGCTCGGAGAAGCACGATTTGTTTTGCCGAGAAGTTACGATGGCAGACAAAACTTTTTTTCTTAATTAGATCATATGAATGCAAATTCTGATTAATAAAAATTATACAATCCCGATTGTCAGTTTAGAAATTTCCGGCCCAGTTCGGGTTTTGTTACACATTTTATACGTACTCTCCCTACAGTCTGTCTACACACGTGCAGGAATCTGCTCAGGGATAAAAAAAAATTCTGTCATTTAATGTAACACACACACAGAATGATTAATTTTTTTTCTGTAAGAGGAAACTATATGATGATTAACGAACAATTAACATGATTAACGATTATACTACAATTGTTGATATAGTATTAGTATATTAATCAATTCATCGGTGAAAAAATATCAATCGAAGAATGACCTAAATATTCTCTGTTATCAAACGTTTAAAAAAAATTTTAAAAAAAGCTGAAGAGGGAGGAGGGAGCAAGCGTAGGAATATTAATATTTTTTATTTGCATTTAGGGGGGAAAGTGTTCTTCGGAGAAAAAAATTTAAATTAATTTTGGTTTCTTGTACGTATGACATTCACAGCATTATTCTTATCATGAACAATAATGTTGTATCTACTTATCAATGATGGAACTATTTTCGTCGGAACAATTTGTGTGAGTCGCCGCTGACTATAGTAATATAGTATAATATATCTTGAACTGATAGTAAGCACTGATCGAATATATTAAAAAACTTAAAGAATTTTTTTTCCGGAACTTTTTTGTTAATTTCAATTTCTGGTAACCATGACAGCTATTTACCAAAATCAAAAGCTGACACATAGAAAAATGCATTTTCTTGTATGTATTATATTGGATGTAATATATGGAGAAACTTACGAAATGTTCAAGCTCAAAACTAGTACTCCATTAGTTGAATATTATTATTGATTGATTGATTGTTGTTTTACGTATCTTCTGTTATTCAAGCAACAGGCTAGATTAAAATATCACTCTGAGATGAAATACACAAGTATCCATTCTTTGTACGTGCATGCAGATAAAAACCCTATACATGTATTGTAATGAACTCTGGCAATTGTTGCTGGTGAAGTCTCTGGCCTAGTTTTGGAAAATTTCCTCTGCATTTTTTCAAAAAAATATCCCTTTGTCCTGAGTCTGAATAGCTGACGTGTTCTATTCAAAGAACGAGGGCGCTTTTAATTGAGTTCGGCAGGAATCTGGGCGAAATTGAAAGGTGAAAATTTTATCGACATGTCACATGAAATTTTAACATTTTTTTTCATCGGGTTCCTGTGCAACAGGAAAGGAAAATATTTTCCCAAAATTGAGCTTTGATTTGCTAAAAAATAACTTGAAAATTGGCCAGATCAGACAATTGGTACAAAATGGTACATTTTTAAACACGTTTTTTCTAAAAAAAAATTCTATCTCTGGGTCTTCTGTGATCTGCAGGAATCATTTATACGAAACATTTATGGTTTAGATTTCCATTATTTGGTTGGCTGAACATAGCTGGTCAGATTTTACAAACACGTGCATAGGTTTTTTTCATTTAGTTTGAAAGACTTTGTGAGATTGTAACATTTAAGTCCGTTTTTCCTAGGGGGTACTATAATATAGTAATGTTTCACAAAAAATAAACCGTAACGCCTAAAATATTTAATACATAGATGAATGATACGTGTACATGTACATTGTAGAATAGAAGATTGGAATTGATTTCGCTTGAGAACCAAACTGAACCAAAACATATCTAATTCAAAATTTTAATACATTAGTACATAAAACGAAACTGGCAAAATAAATGGTTGTTTGCATGAAAAAAAAAACATTAACGCCCCATTCAAGGCTCGAACCAAAA